CCCCCCCCCCCCCCCCCCAAAAAGGCTTAGTTTCTTAGTAATATATAAATGTAATATAATATATAATAGGGTAACTGACAGATATTCAACAAGAAAAAAGATCAAACAAAATCTTAAACAGAATCTGAAATCAAATAAGAATATTCAATGAAAAAAAACATTAACTTAATATAACTGCCTTGGCAACTAATTGAAATAAAATAACTACTAAAAATGTACTAAAATTACTAAAACTTCCAAAGAAATAAAAGCTAAAATAAAGTAAAAAAAAAAAAAAAGTCAATAGAAATATTTTTAAAATTAATACAAATGACAAAAGCATATTTCAGAATAGTTAAAACTGAAACTAAATTTGAAATATTTAAAAAAATAATATAATAGTATGTAGATAATACTAAAAAAAACACTAATTGTGACTCTACAGTAATTAATGGTAAAAATGAATCCACTAGTTGACTACCAACCAACTAATTCATTATTGAATGACTAGTTGACCATCCATTCCCATTTCAGATATAGTTAAGGCACAGCTGTATAGCCACTGTCATAGTCATGTGATCGTTCTGGGTATATTTGCCTGTTTTGCATCATGGAGTCAAAAGACACTTTTGTGTGTCCACAGACAGCAGAAGGCCTATATTGCCACTCAGGGCCCTCTAGCAGAGACCACTGAGGACTTCTGGAGGATGTTATGGGAGCACAATTCCACTATTGTAGTGATGCTGACCAAACTCAGAGAGATGGGACGGGTAAGAGCACCTTCCTCCCTTTAACTCGCATCCTGGTGTTTTATTCAAAGATTTACTCCTATTTTTCCACATCCTGCAGGAGAAGTGTCATCAGTACTGGCCAGCTGAGCGCTCTGCCCGCTATCAGTACTTTGTGGTGGATCCCATGGCTGAATACAACATGCCCCAGTACATCCTGCGAGAGTTTAAAGTCACAGATGCCAGGGTACGTGCATCTATCACCTGTAGGAATCTGCCAGAGGAGTGTTATTTGTGTTTGTTTTTTTATCCGAATGTTACTCAGTATGGTACTTGAGGACACCGCTGGGGTGTGTGAGCAATCTGTTGCTGGCGGCAGATATTTCACACCAACATGGCACTCTCACATCCTGCGTCTCGCTTTGGACTTCAGAGCTTTCTGGCGACTATAAATATGAATAAGCTTGTAGCTAAATCGCGTACTAGCACGGTCATACAGTCAGCATATGGACAGAGGCTTCCTGCGGAGGAGTCCAGCTGTTGTGTGCCTTTGTGAGTGTGAAACCAGCAGCCTAATAAACCGTTAATTCTTTACTCCCTTCAGGACGGTCAGTCTAGAACCATTCGGCAGTTCCAGTTCACTGATTGGCCGGAGCAGGGAGTGCCAAAAACTGGCGAGGGGTTCATCGATTTTATTGGCCAAGTTCATAAAACCAAGGAGCAGTTTGGGCAGGATGGACCAATCACTGTGCACTGCAGGTAAGTTGACCTCTGACCTGAAGTCTGAATATAAATACGGACAGCAAAATATGTGTAGGGATCATATACAGTCAGATGATCAGCAGATGATCATCCTGAAGGTTTATTTTGTAATAATGACCAAATTACTTCACATTATCCTGCTTATTACACAGCTACTTACCAAATAAACATTTTACACATAAAAAGTGATGGATACATTTAGTTTATGCAGAGTTCACAACATATTGTTACACAAATTATTTTAATTACATATTTTTTTAATTGTAATAATAAATTATTCGTTTTTTATTTTATTTTAATAATAAACAATTCTATTTTTACTAGTGCTGTCAAATGATTAATCGCGATTAATCGCATCCAAAATAAGTTTTTGTTTACATAATATATGTGTGTGTGCTGTGTATATTTATTATGTATATATAAATACACACACATACAGTATATATTTTGAAAATATTGACATGTATTTACATGTATATATTTATATTCACATAATTTATATTATAAATAAATAAATATATTTAATATATAAACATAACATATTTTTCTTAAATATATACATGCATGTGTGTACTTATATAAACATAATAAATATACACAGTACACACACATATATTATGTAACTTTTATCTTTTATTTTGGATGCGATTAATCGCGATTAATCATTTGACAGCACTCATTTTTACACATTTTATTTTTTATTTTTATAATTTCTCTTAATTTAATCATTTTTAATAATAATTTTTTATTTAGTAATGTACGCTTTTTTTAATTGTAAAAACTTTTAATAAACAATTTTACAATCTTTTTTTACAAATTTTATATTTAAAATGTTTGATATAATTATTATTTTTTGTAATGTTTTAACTTGTCAATAAGTAACAAATACCATTTTTAATAATCATTTATATTATTGTTTTTCAAATGTATTAAATTGACACATTTTTAAATTGTAGAATTTCATTTAATATTTTTACACATTTTGTTTTTTAAACTAGATTCATTTCATTATTTCCTTTCATTTTTGTCACAGCCTCACAAACCCCAAACACCCAGATTTAGTGCATTACACTGTAGACTTCAGTATTATGTGTCACACAGATCCTTCACCCTTGTGTAACAGGTGTTAAGTTAACAGATTCTGTTGTTTTTCAGTGCTGGAGTGGGAAGAACAGGTGTTTTCATCACTCTAAGTATTGTCCTAGAGAGGATGAGATATGAGGGTGTGGTGGATCTGTTCCAGACCGTTAAGACCCTGCGCACACAAAGGCCTGCCATGGTGCAGACAGAGGTACTGTCCTACTGCCCCAAAATTGCAATACCACTCCAATATGCAATTAAAGCTGCTGATTTAGACTTAGAATTACTGATAATTAATTAATAGTTATCCGACAGCCTCCTCATAGCCTAACATGATAATGTTGTTTGTAGAGCCACTGGTGCACAGAGACAACAAAGTGTTATTTCTCAGGACACCTTTCACCTATTTCAGTGGTGTCTTCAGGGACGTTTCATACATGGTGTTCCAAAAAGTCACTGACAGCAGCTTTAGCAGAAATTGATATGGAGCGTGAGCTCTTTGTCACCAACTCCGTGTTATTAGTTAAGGAGGCGATTGTTTCTCCAGCTGACACAAGCTGATTTTTCCCCTGCAGGACCAGTACCAGCTGTGCTACAGAGCCGCTTTGGAGTACCTGGGGAGCTTTGATCACTATGCAACGTAACCACTCCTGGACCACAGCCCTCTGGTACAACTCTTCAGGAGTGCACCAAGTGTTCCTTCTGAGCCACCATTCCCCATCCCCATCCTGTACAGAGATCTGGGGGGTGGGAAGGGCAGGCTATCCAGTGGCTGGTTAACCAATCACAGCAGTCCATTATCAACTGGCACCAAGAGATTGCTTTAAGAAATATAGACAACTCTCTTTCAAGAAGCACCATCTAAAAAAAACTACATTCTAGTTTCTCCTTAGCGTACGACAACCCACACTACAGTCGAAGGCTACTGGTAGCACTCATTCTTCTTCTTCTTTTTTTTTAAATCATGATTATCATTTGTTATTATTTTAAAAAATCCATTATGACAATATTGTTATTATTCTTATTTAGAATATTTGTGTTTTTATTTTTAAATCATCTTTTGTCTTAATGGCCTTTTCCATGGGTCTACCTTTTCCTTATTTGGTAGTTTTATTTTTTATTTTCTTCATAATAGGTTATTTTAGCACAAGGACATGTATTTTTAACATGTTCCTGATACTAATACCAGAGAACCACTGTTCTCTAAGCTGCTGATGGTTTGACTTTGTAACATGATTTTACTGTTGTTATTTTTTTTTTCCGTTATGTATAATTGGTCTTATTGGGCTAAAATGAGTGGGTTCACTTTTGGAGAAGCCTTTAATGTTCTGTCTCTGTCTCGATAAAAGAAAAATCTCCAACTGCGAGACGTATGTATTTGGGTTAGTGGTACTAAATTAAGAAAAGCTTTTTTGTAGGGGAAAGCAAATCAACTAACTAATAAAATCGGCACTGTACAGAACTCAGTAAAGGGTTAAATGCGATTTGTGAGGAATACATTACGACCTTCTGATTGGAGCACATTCACCGTGAGGGACGTTACCGGCAACTGAACGCAATCCTAACGAAAAGTGCCCCTTCTCTGTGACGTTTGAAGACCTGATATTGAAATGAGACCAATTGCCATTGGCACCTGTACAGTATAAACCACTCCCCCCAAGGGAGAGTCAGCTCTGTTTAATCCAACTCTTCTTTTTTTTATACAGAAATATATAGACATCAGTTTATAATTATGGATAAATATAAATACTATTATACAGTATATAAACAGCTTCTGCTCTATTGTCCATAATTCTCTCAAAACGTAATCCTGGACTTTTCTTGATATACCGACATAGAGAAAATTACACGAGAGACTGCTGTGTGTGAATCTATTCATGGTACAAAAGTTATATCTACTGTAGTATCTACGCACCCCAGGTATTTGGCGGTCTCCTCTGGTGGGGTGGGGCAGCAAATTAAAAACACTTTCTACAGGACAACATTTCATGCCTGCTCAATTACAACCGGCATGTAAAAGGGAGACCTGGCCATACATTCAGTATATGTTGGAAAGTTCATTTTTACCTTGTGAATGATTAGTGCTGTAGAGGTTCGATCTGTTGTATACACAGTCTGTTTTCTATTTGTTAATAAGAAAACTGGAATAAAAAAAAAATGTTGCAGGAAAAAAGCTACTAATAAAATAAAAACTAATAAAAGTTCAATAATTGGTTTTTGTACAAAATATTGTCTGTGTGTGTGTTTCTGGACTATACTCGGTGTGTTATTTGTTACATGTTAGATGACTTCATCAATCAACCCAATGCTTTCATAAAGCACTCGAATAACACTCCCTTAAGATCTCAGATCTGTGCCAGCTTTAGCTGTACTTATCCAGCAGGGAACAACATGTTCTTTGGCTTTCTGTCATAGAACATTTTGTGAAAAGCAAATAATATTCAGCCAATTCAAAACCACACACTTCTAGATTTTCTGTGAATTAACAGATGTGACTTTACAGTCAGTCATGGATATTTAGTAACACTTTACAGTAAGATTCAATTTGCTGATGTTAAAGCATTAGATATTGTGAACTATAACAATGAATAATTAATCGATTTTAATGTTGATTTATAAATACACTAATGTTCACTGATACATTCTCAGAAAAAAGATACAAAAGCTGTCACTGCAACAGCACCCTTTTAAAGAGTATGCCTTTGTATTTTATTTACCTCTAAAGAGTGCATATAAGTACTTGAATGTTACATATTAGTACACTGTAAAAGGTGAGAAGTTGACTTTACTTTAAAAAATTGAGGAAACCCGTTGCCTTAAAATTACCAAGTAAATGAAATGCATGCATAATTAAAAGAAAAAATGTTAAGTGAACTTGACAATTCTGAGTTACAGTAACAAATAAACAAAAGAAAATGTGTTGTGGTCTCTTTATTTTTAAGTTGGATTAACTTAAATGCATTAAATTGCGATTACTTAAAAGTGTGAATCTACTCAACTTAAAACTAACAAATTAATCTGAGTTCTGTCTACTTACTTAAATTGAGGAATCTTGTTGCCTTGAAAAAATTAAGTAACCACAACTTATTGTATTTGTGTAATTACAATTCACTTGAGACTGATTTGATGTAAACTTAATTTACTGATTTCTTTCAAAATGAAAATTGAAGTCTACTAATACAATTCAAAATTGTATACAAAAAAAAAAATACTAAATTGTTCAAAACAGACTGCACAAACATTTCTATGAAGAATTGTCAAAAGCAAGTCAACTCACCCTTATGATATATATATAGCACTTCATACAGTACAGATTGTGTCAAAACAGCTTTACAATGTTAAACAGGAAAATAGTGTCAATAATGCAAACAAAATTCAGTTATGCAGTAAAGCAGCTCTAAAAAGAGGACAAAAGTAAACAGTCAATATTTCAGTTAAAGTCAGTTCATTGTTGATTCAGCGATGTCATCATCATCCAGCTCAGTTCAGTTCTCTTCAAATAGTGTCTCTGCAATCAAGTCGTTAATATTCACAACAATTAAGTGTCCCCAAATAAGCAAGTCAAAGGCGACAGAAATTGAAAAAAAACCTTGGTAGAAACCAGGCTCAGTCGGGGGGTGGGGGTCAGTTCTCCTCTGGCCAGACAAACCAACATGGTGTTTTTCACCGTGGTCTTTGTTGAGGTTTTGTGCCAATGGCCGTATAGTTGATGAGGTCTTCACTGGGGATTTGTCTTTGGGGCTCATCTAGTTGACATGGTCTCTGCTGAAATTCAAGGCTATAGACCCCTTGTCCAAATACCCACACTTGCGGTCTTGGCCACATTAAAATACTTCTCCCAGCAATATGAATTCCTTCTAGCTTACTATCCTTAATAAAATGACAGAAGGCTTGAGCTACAATAAGAAAGAGATATACGGAAGCTGGACAGCCTTGCCGAATACCTCTTTCTAAAAGAAATCTCTGTGTAGTACCATGTCCTAATTTCACTGAGCTATTTCCCCCAGCATACAACGTTTTCATTGCATTACAAAAATAAGGCCCGAAACCAAAACGCTCTAAACAAAAAAACAAAAAAAATGAAAGGATGCTCAATAGTGTCAAAAGCTTTCAAGAAGTCCAAAAACAGAATTAAACTATCGTCCTCAATATAGTCAGAGTAATCAATGAGGTCAAAGACAAGTCTAATATTATTAAAAATATGACGATTTTTCATGAAACCGGAGTGATTTTCATTGATAATGGAGTTCAAAACCAACTTTAAACGCTTAGAGAAAATAAGGGCAAACAATTTATAATCATTATTAAGGAGGCTGATAGGTCTCCAGTTGTCTAAAAGAAGAGTGTCCTTTTTAGGTTTAGGTATTAAACAAATGACACCTTGCCTCATACTAACAGAAAGCTCAGAGCAATTTAAACTCTCTATATACACTCGCAGGAGGAACGGAGATAACAACTCAGAATATAACTTATAACATTCTGCCGTTATCCCGTCACTGCCAGGCGACTTGTTCTTTTTTAAATGTAAAATTGCTTCTTTAACCTCATCGATAGTAATTGTCGAGTCACATACATTTTTTTCATCATAACTAATAGAATTAACATTACCAAGATGTTTACTGAAAGTATCCAGGTCAGCTAGATTAAATTTAGATTTATACAAATTTGAGTAAAACATAACAAAATTGGGAAATTTCTTTAGCATTTTCTGAGACAACCCCTCCGAACTGTTCATTTTCCAATAAGAAGAGCCCTTGTTAAATCTAGCTTCAGGAGAAAGCTACATTTTAATAGAAACAGCCTTATGATCTGTCAATGGCGTTGCAGAGATATCAATATAGATATTCTCTTTATCAACATTTCTAGAGACTAACCAAAAATCAATTCGTGAAAGTCTAGATGAATTTTTATTGCTCCACGTGTATACTCTATCATTCGCATTTTTAACCCTCCATATGTCTATAAGCTCAAACCTATGCATAAATGCTTTCAGAGCTGTGTTTGAGTTTGATGGGCGACCAGGTGGCCACCTATCAAGGGATTCATTCAGGACAGTATTAAAATCACCACCAATCACTAAATAAGCATTTGGAAATTTAGACTGCCAATAAGTAAGCTTATCTTCCAAAACAAATAATAACTGATCATTCTCAGATCTAGAGTTATACCCATAATAATTAACAACAATAAGATTAAAATTATAACACTTCAGAATTAACAAAATAAAATGCCCATATTCATCACAGTATGTGTGCAACACATCCCCTGCAAAATTATTTTTTAAACAGGAAACCCCTGCAGAGTGCTCCGAACCATGAGAGAACCATATCTCACTACCCCACTGCGATTTCCAAAAATTACCATCATTATCTTTAGAATGAGACTCTTGAAAAAATACGAAGTCAGAACCAAACTGTCTAGAAAACTAAAATAAGGCCTTGCGTTTAACAACATCTCTTAAACCCCTGGCATTTAAGGACACAACAGAGAAAGACATGTAAAGAACTCACAAACACTGAAACAATTAACCTGCTTTAAGTTCTATGAACTCAATTTTTTCCCCTATCTTTTTGAAAATAGGTCACAAAATCAAAAAATGCTGAAAAAAGCAGCACCATATTGAATATCAAAAATTGCAAAAAAGAACTGTAACAAAAAATT